CAACAGAGGATACCTCCGGCATCTTGTCTTCGACAACCTCGAACAACTAGTTCGTAGGTCCGTCCTCTTGGACCGAGACTGGTCGAAGGGTCACTCGTTTCGACGTGACCTTGATCGTCTTAATACGTCTGGTGCTCGTTGTTCGAGTCACCACGACCTTTGACCTGGAAGAAGGTGTCGTTGCTGTATTAGCCAACATACTCCTTCCAACCGCACCAGGCTCATGGCTCTGTGCCGGTTCTTGTGGCACTTGACTTCCTGTCAGCCCACTATCAACTGCCACAGGCTCTCGGCTCTATGCAGGACTATTGGACGCATGACAACTTGTCATCGCCCCATTCACTACACCAGTCTTTTCGACATGGGTAGGAATATGTGCCATCTGACTTCCTGTCAGGACACTTCCAACTACACCAGGCTCAACGAGCTGGGTAGTACCTGTGCCGATTGACATACCGTCATCGCACCCATGACTGTGTTGGACACAACATCAATCGCATAAGTCTCTTGCAGGAGCACATCCTTTACGGTGTCCTGCGTAGAGTTAGCGATTGTGCGTGTACGCCAGTCAATCCTTGGTTGGTGTTTAGCCGACGAAGGCATGCCTAGGATGAGGTCATACGGACTCTCCATACCTAGCACTGTGAACTTCTCTTTACAAGAGAAGTCGTTAAAGATGAAGGCGAGCTCAACATGAATTCCCTCTAATTTATCGAGCGCGCCGTTAGCTAAACGAACGGTCGCCTCTTCTCGCTTGCCATCCTGGCAAAGCGACTCATAACTCGCCGAACTCTTTTTCAGAGCCGCGAGTTTCACAAAGTTTTGTAATGCACCCGAATCCACGAGAAGGGTCATCACTTAATCATAGCTTCGTACTCGAGCGCTATAGACCAAAAGGGTTGCGGTCCGACCTTTCGGTACCTCAGGGACTATGCTACCCATTTGTTCGATCACTCTGAACATAGAAGTAGCGTCAGAGTCCGCGACAGTAGGGCATCCCGCCCCTACTGCCCTCCCACATTTCCCGACACATCTTGGGCAGGTGTTGAACCCGTGCTTCGTTCACGGTTTTTTTGCACCTCCCATTGGGTTAAGAGACCTTTTGCTGGCTGCCTTATCACCAGCAGCAAGTTTGGCATAGCAGCGAGCGATCATATGGCCGCGATTGACGCACTAGTAGCAAACCACGTCTGCATTTCCTGGCTCCATTAGAGTGGCATCCGACCTCTCGGTCGACGTCCTGTAATAAACTGCCGCCAAGACGATGTTGTAGGATTGCTCCTCAGCTAAGGCAATGTCAATTGCCTCCTCCATCGTCTTTGGCCATTCTCTGTAAAGAGCCTGACACGATGGGACGAGCCGTAGTCCGTTTATGAACGTAGGCACCTAAATGTGTTCCGGTATCGGACCCACATTAATGGGGGTCCGACGCAGACAATGAACGTATTTCCTGCACATACTCTTGCAGATATCGTTTCGCCTGTCTTGCTCCAAAGAAGCGCGCCTAAAGTAGCACTTCATTGTTATGAGGCTGGTACATGGGGGCGAATCTTTGACTAAAAGATTGCCCATGATGAGTATTCATCGGCGTTTGGCATAAGCGCAGAGTAAGCCCACTCTGACGCTTTGCCACGCAATTTGACATGGCATACGACACCATTGTGGTGTCGTCTTCGATAAGCTGCGACATACTGCATTGACCCACTGCTAAAAGCCAGTGGAAAATCGTATGTGGAGCAGCCCCATCGAACTTCGGAGGGTCCATTCGAATAGACCTTGGCTGGTTATACCGGGCTGAGAGCGTCTCAAAAGCTCTGCTGAGCGTCTCGTTCCGAGCCTGATCACAAAAAAGCTCATCCTGAGTGTTACTAATAGACTCAGACGCTGCTTGGCTGTTTGCCTCGGAAGCGTTTCTACGCTGTCCGAGCACAAACGCCTCGAATTGCTTCAACTGAGCAACATGTTGCTCAGGAGGACAATGCAAGAGGTTGACCAGGCCTTGTTCACCAATTCCCTGTGCCAAATACTCAGCCAACTCCCTATAGTGTTGCGAGTGGTGAGGAAAGTCTCTTCAATGCATATTGAGGGCAATCCACCCACGCACTCTCATAGAGACGGGTCGTGGGAAGGACTTAAAGTGTTACCAAGTGTAGACGGGCACTTCGTAAGAAGCTGCCGCGTGCTACGAGCACACACCTTCGAGCAGCGTGAGGAAGCAGTCAGACCGTCTTACCTGGTGGGGGTGTTGGTCGGCGCTAAAGCGCTGTACCAACCGTTGCCGATCGCTTGAAGCTAACCGCAACGAACCTCTAAGACAAGAGGTACACTTACGTCACGCAGAAGCTTATTCAGCTTTTCGTGCGCAGCGCACAATGTTTAGGAAGTTCATGAGTGAATTATATTTAGTAGAATTAGCTAAATATAAATTTAACTACTGATTGGTCAAATGTAGAGATCGGTTACGCAAGCGAATCCTTACGTGCGAGCTTAAAATATATTTAAGCTCGCTGATGACGTCTGTCTAAAGCTTCACCATGACGCCTAGTCCAAAATAGGCGTCATCTCCGTTGAATGTGAATCCATCCATGGATATCACATTCACGAGGGGGGTCACGTTGATGAGCCGCACCCAAGTGGCAGGCCTAAGGTACCTCGTACCCTTTTAGACATATTCGATACTTAACGAGCCCGTGTAACTATTAGCCCGTTACAAGATAGATTTAAATTTAATTAGTATCTATCAAATATAAATCAGTCTTGAATTTGCTATTTATCTCCCACAGCGCATGTAACGGGGTTACACGACGGTTGTAACATCATACCGAAAGCACATCAAGGTCAAAGTTTCTATATTGCATATAATGTATTCTTAATACCGATCTCTATAAAAAAGGTATAATATATGAGTGATATTATAAGGTCAGTAATACCTTCTACTAGTGGATTTTTATTTTTACAACGTACGGACCATAGTATTGGTGCCATGGCTAACAGTCGGCATCGGGAACGTCCGACTGCGGATTATTTCTTGTACGTCACATACAAAGAGAGCACTCGAGTGCGGCAAGAGCCGCCCAAGACGCTTCGTCACGGATCTTTGAACTTCCATTTCTGTGATGAAATACAAGATGTCATGTTCCTGATGTCATGTCCCTAAAGCGGGAGTGTGACATACGAAGTGCAAGATGTCATGTCCCTGATGCTAGTGTGACTCAGTATGATGCTGGGACGCATCGTACAGTTGGAGTATAATGCTGGTACTCATTATTACAGTTACATTAGTACAGGTATACCTGTTAGTATATACTGTAGAGTCTAGTGGGTTGTCACCTACGAGTTTTCCCCATCCTCAATCCCAAGTTAATCAGTGGGAAGCAAGTTGTAGATGGGGACTTCAAAAGAAGCTGCCACGTGCTACTTTGACACACACCTTCAAGCGCGCGAGGAAGCGTTAAACCGTCTAACCTCCGTACCGGGGAAGTCCAGGTGCTGTCTACCTTTTATATCGAATAGAGATGAATTTAAAAGTTTCACCCTAATTTATTTGTTAAATTGATGGTGGAGGTGTGCCACCACATATACTTGACTTTTGTATGGTCTCGGAGCATATGGAATCATGTGGTACACATTGGGGTACCACTGTACCAGTCTGTACCGCTCTATCTCCTTCCTCTGTTTTTGACGGCGGCTCCTGTGGATATGTATCGCTAGACGCACTTCGTTCTTGAGAGGCCTCTTCGCGTAGATTCACGCTAACTTCGCATACTTGTTCCTCTTTCTCGGGCATCTGTCGGTGTGACATATTCATCATTGGTACTGAGACCGTCGGTCGCAAGTCCAAATTTTCGCGGATGTCATTTTCCACCGTAAAATTGCGTGACGGGGTGTAATACTGAAGTTCTCCATCAACGGCCCCTCGTTTTCCTCCGTTGGGTCTATTTGATGGTCGAACTGGTCAGTGGCAGCTTTGGATGCCTAATATAGCCAGGTGGTGGGGCTGGTCGGCGCCGAAGCGAACCGCACAACGAAATTTTAGCAAGTACTTTACTTACTACACGCAAAAGCTTATTCAGCTTCTCGTGCGCTGTAGCGGAGCTACACAATTCTAAAGTCAGAGGAAGACTTTTAGGCTGAAGCTTTTTAGTTTTATAGAACTAGTTGAAAGTTGACGGCTTAAAACCACTTAGTTCTAAGGAAATAATTAAACGACCAAGAAGTCACTCTTTTTTAAGGAACTAGGAGGGACTTCTAGTCTACAAGCAATAGCTTAAGGTTCAGAGAACCAACGCACAGAGTGCAAGAACAAGCTAGAAGTTCAAAGGTTTAGGGAACAAACGCACGAAGTGCACAAGAGAACAAGTCTGAAAGAGACTTGGGATTCATAACTCAAAATGAGAACTAACTTTATTCATGCATTAAGTTTATATGAATAATCTCACCCTTAAGTACCCTACACTAGATTGATTACTACTATTATAGTAATTATAGTATGCCATCGTCTGTATATGAATATGGAATCTAACAATCATCAGTGTATGTTGTACTGCATCAGTTATAACAGGCCTCTTTATATACGAATTAATCCGTAAATACGGTAAATCGCTTGTTTACGGCTTGACCAAATTATTATATACAATTTACGTATTATCAATCTCTAAATCTGCAATAAGCATGAAAATGCTAAGTGCCCTGTTCAATTCAGGGTACAATATGGCTTAGTTTTTCATTTGCTCGCAATACAACACTCCCTATAGCGAAAGGTCGGTAATACTGCTGCGAAAGCTCTCTTTTTTAATTTTCAAAATCGAAAATCAGATTCAACTTGACTTGTACCGGAAAACACAGTAGCAACTCAACCACAAAATCGTTGAAGATACTTAAACCTGTATTTGACCACACCCCATGATTCATCAAAAGTAGAATCTCCATTGAGGGAGTCTAATGTCGACTTAAGAGCAGGTTCAAGTCTTACGGCAATTAACAGATCGCCGTGCTCCTGCTCAATTAAATCGGTTTCTTCGAGGATCCAAAGTTCCAAAAAGAAGGCACTCCTTCTGACTCCTCAATCGCACTGTATTCAGAGGTGCGAATTAAAACCAGGTCCTGGGTTACAACAGGTGGAAGTTTTGAAGTTCCTAAAATTCGCGCCTCGTTTATTGAGATCTCTCTCAGCCACAATCTCATTAATATCGTTAATGGCATCGATAAACAAAGTCGCGACTCTTTTTACAACATCTTTCACTTCTACGTCATCCATGGACGCAAGGATCTCAGACACGAATGAACGAAACTCTTTACTTCGACGAGACTAGCAGAAAAGTTTTTGGAGGTCAACACATGCCATTCATTAGAATCCAGTGTGTCCGCCTTACCACCATCCGCCAGGAATGGACCTTTGGCGCCGACGCATTCGATGTAGAACAGCATCAAACTCTTTAAATATTCTCGCTGCATCGAAACCGTGACAGAGTGTCTATTGAGCTGCTTGAATGTCACCGTCGCGCTTGCTGCAAAGGCTTTAGCAATAATGATGTAAATCCACCAACGGTCGGACGGCGTGCACACCGGGTTCTTTTCGGCCAAGTAGGCACGACCACGGACACGTTTGGCCTTGAACCAGCCACCGACCTTGCTCATTGACTCCCAACTGGAAGTAGCGAGTTTTGGGAAAGCCGTTTTTCATTTTGCTGATCAGTTTCTGCTGTCGACGAAGGTAGGAAATGATGGAGGTCAATACTCCATATAATTCGTCATGACCGAAATGGACGTACACGTCTTGTAATACGATGTCCAGCTGGTGCGCGCCACACCAAACTCGAATAAAACCAGGCTTTGAAACATTTTCAAATCTGGTGACACAACCGCTGAATCGGCCTGACATTTTGTTTTCGCCATCTGAAGGGGTGCCAATAATGATGTCACGCCATTGAGTCAGCTTAGCGTCGAGCGCTTCACAAGCAGTCGAGAATATGACCTCGCCAGTGTGTCGTTCGTACACTGCGTACACTGAAATCGCCAAAAGTGGACATTGAGAATACCATACTGAATAGTATATAAATGGAGACAGATGTCCAGATACGAAGTGCTCATGTGTGTCGACATATCCAGTGCAATAGAGAACGTCCAAGACTGCTTTTACAACTCTGCAATCTTTTGTTAGTTAATGGCAACAGCAAACCGATCATACTTGGCTACAGTTGCGTCACTGGCACACCCAATCGAAGTCAATCCTGTTAACACCTTCGTAAACAGCAAAACACGAGAGCTCTGACGAAACGTGCATGCAGCTGGACCGATAAATTTAAACAGCAAGATCGAATTGCAGGGAATTCTTTATATCAATACGGTAGCAGTCGACACCTTTTTCCATCTTTAAGGTCTTTAGACCCTTCAGATATGTTAACGAACGTCTGCATCATCTTTGTATTACTCTCGCCCTCAACTTCGTCTGGATCCCAAAGCACTTTTCCAATAATTTTGTCGACAATTGGCGCGTTAATATTATGCTGCCTCGGCACCTGCTGAGATCTAAAATGTGAATGTAAGGTGTGCTTAATGGGCTGGACATTCTTAAAGAAGCCCTTCTAGACTTCATTAGAGAGGCCTAGGTACTACTGCCACCTTTCGGGGTGCTGTAGTTTCAGGTGCTGCGTGTAGTTGTTTTTGCTCGGAATGGGGCCGAGTAATACTTGGTGTTTGCACGTTTTGCGCTTGGCTTTCTCTCGCGACCGAAGTGAATACAGAAAAGACAACCCTTTGAGACAGCGGTGCGGTCTTTATTGCTCCTCTAAGAGACTCGAACGCCATATTTTAGAGCATGGTCATTTTGAAAGAGAATTTCTCACGTGTTCTTCATGTGTATAAGCTTATCCCACGGGTTGTTGCGGGTTCTAGGGCTCTTTATTTGGTTTAGTTGTTAGTCGCGAAGGATGGGGTCTTTTAAGATTGTGGGAGTAATTTCCGGGTCCCTGTTTCTTTGTCCAGTAACTATTTTCTTACAAATTCCTCACGGACTCGCTCACTCGCCCATTTAATTTCCCAAATTTTAAAAAGGTTTAGCCATTTCTAAACCAGGTTTTTACGGCTCGCCAGAAATATTATGTACGGTGTCAAATATTATCTATTATCCAGATCTCTGCAGCCAAGCTTTTGGACATTCCAATGGTCGTAACAACACAATACAGTTCCCGTCTAGGCACTACCGTATCTGAAATCTTAAAAAATCTTAAGGACGTACAAAACATCCAGACTTTTGACGAGATGATGTTCCCAATGTTCGAACCTGAGACGGAACATCATATGACAACTGATATGCCACAGTGTAAATCAGTTCTTCTTCTTTTAAGGTATTGAGACACACGTGTCCGTATTGCAAACGTGACTTTGATTTACTAGAAAAAGGTGATGAAGTTCCGTAATGTCGGATTTTTTGTCGAGCATAACGAGTTACTGTTGCACTTTGGCCATAGAACGTATGCGCCAATCTACTGCCAATATTACAGCCGTCGGGTGAGCCATCTTCCAGTTGGCTCATGTCACTTCGCCCTGGAAACAAACAAATGCTGTCCTTCGACTTTCAATCGTCGATTGCAAACAGTTGTTCAACATTTCAATACCATCGACTGTAGAAGTCAAACACAGCTGTCAATCCAGACATTGAGCCAAAAACAAGAAAGATTTGTCGCAATTGGGCATGTTGTCATCAGAGAGGCTTGTGTTTATCTACGTGGGTGCTGAAAATATTAGGCATGGAAGTTCTGAGCGTCTGCAACTCAATGTCATTTATCAACTTCCCCACTACCAACAACACCTCTTCATCTTCATCAACCATGCTGCTCCCTTTCGGGTTGCAGCGGCCACAGTCGTCACTGCCGGCGGCGTTTTAGTGCAAAAGCACTCATACTCCAAAATGACTTTCATGAACGAGTGTTCGACCAACATCGACTTGTACACTCACCTTACCAGCATCTTCAACATCCCCACGAACGAAATTGACAGAATCATCTCGGGTGGTTCGGTCGTCAAGACCATTAGAAGGGGCTACGAAGGTTACTTCCGTAACGGTTCGGACGACGCTGCCACGCTCATTGGGATTTCTACTACTAACGTCTTCCGCGAGGTTTTGTATAACCTTAACGTCACCCCGCCGAATCTGAATCCCGGCTTTGAGTCTTGCAAGACCCTTGACGAGTGCAAGCAACACTCCAAAAGCGGCATTGGTTTCAACACTCCCATCCGGATCACACCCATTTCCAACACGAACGGCAAAAACTGCCGTGAAATCACGTGTCTGGCTGACGGCTGCGAGGACGCGTACACTTTTCCAAAGGACGACATCAAGACACACTCGTGTCGGTTCAACACGAACTACAAAGTGACTTTCTGTCCATCACGTGATACGACACCACAAGAAACGACGACTGCAGGCCCATCGTTGACCGGTAACGAGACCACTCAAGTCTCTGAGACGACGACACCCGTAACGGTGCAGAGTATGAATATTCCTGCGAAGAACGAAGGTGGATATGGTCAATCGGACGGTGTGGTTTCTGAGGTGACCAAGAAGGTTGACACCCCTGCACCCACAGTGAATGGAACTGACATCCCTGCACCCAAAGTTGACACCCCTGCACTTAGTGCTGACACCCCTGCACTTAATGCCGACACTCCTGTCACCAGACTTGACCAAGCACCGCGTCTAAGTATGTCGATATAAGGGTCAGTTGTCTAAGAATTTAAATAAAGTTGCAAGAATCGTCACTCATTGATAATGGTGTGACGTTTAATACATACAGACGATGGTATTGACTTGTTGATCGACTAATTTGCTGTTGACGATGTAACTGATCCCTTCATCCGAGCACTGCGTTTAAGTACGTACTGCGATATAAGGGTAATTTGTCTAAAATTTAAATAAATCTAAATCTGAAAAAATCTAGCATAAGCTGTGTATATTATCCAGTCTCTCTTTGTCAAAATCGAACTGATTTCAATCGAAACTGAAACGTTTTTGACGAAATGGCAGCTCAAAGCTCCGTGACGAAGCGTCTTGGGCGGCTCTTGCCGCACTCGAGTGCTCTTTTTGTATGTGACGTACAAGAAATATTCCGCAGTCGGACGTTCCAGATGCCGACTGTTATCCATGGCACCAATACTATGGTCCGTACGTTAAAAAGATAAAAATCCGCGCGATTTTTGACATCTTATATAGATTTAATCCAGATAGATTATTGACGATATGTTTTATCATTTATCCAGATCTCTGCAGCCAAGCTTTTGGACATTCCAATGGTCGTAACAACACAATACAGTTCCCGTCTAGGTACTACCGTATCAGCAATTTCAAAAAATCTCAAGGACGTACAAAACATCCAGATTTTTGACAAGATGAAGTTCTCCATGCTGATACCCGAAGTCGAAGATCATTTGACATTTGATCTACCACAATGTAAATCAGTTCTTCTTTGTGGTTTGGAGACTCACGTGTGCGTGTTACAAACGTGTCTTGATTTACTGGAAAAAGGTTATGATGTTCACGTAATCTCGGATGCCGTCTCAAGCTCTACGAGTTACAATCGTTCCATAGCCTTAGACCGTATGCGACAATCGGGTGCCTATATCACATCCGTCGAGTCTGCTATTTTTCAATTGACTCATGATGCCAGTAATCCCGAATTTAAGAATATTTCGAAACTTATCAAAAAACATCTTCAGGTGGAGAACGGATTTGAGACGGGAGCACGAATCGAAGAAATGAACAAGTGACGTCAATGAGAACAAAGTGATGCTTCGTTGATGCGATGTTGATCGATCAGCTGACGACAATACGAAGCATTTGGGGTGCACTTTTTGCCTCCTGGTTTACTTTTTTATTGTTGCTGAAAATAGTCAAACAAGGTTGCTCGATTGCCATCCGGCATCGACTTTTGCTCGAGGGGTCGAACTTTCTTACAGATAGCACTGCTGCTTTCAGATTTTGTTGCGGGTTGTGACCTTTTTCTAGACTCGGGGGCATTTTGCGGCACGACTTTCTTAAGTGATATTTTCTGAACGTTTCGAGACTTTGCTGCTTGGACAGATGGAGAATGCTTTGCGATAAGGTCCTTCATTGCAGTTACCTTGGACGCCTTGACTTCTGAAACCGTTGACGATAGTATGCTAGCCGAAGCTCCGAGTACATCAGCTTTCGAGTTGTTTTTGCCCCCGTCGAAGTGCTTTGAATCCGTTTCTCGAGTTCGAACAGTCAAAGTCGACCGCTTCACTGCTTCGTTTGTTGCGGTTGTCGCCACTACACTTGCGGTCTTGTAAACGCTCATCAGAGTTTGCAGTGATTCAGCACGTTTGTTTGCCTGCGAGCACTTCTTGATCTCACTCTGCCGAGCTGTCGCAATGGGTGAAAGCTGTTTGACTTCTCTTTGCATAACTATTGTAGAAAATCCTTGACTGATCTTGCGTGCGTGATCGTTGAATTTACTGCGTGTTTCACGAAGTGCGGTCAACGACTGTCCACTCTGCGACCCAGTGAAGCTTTCCAGCTTTTGTGAGCTTGTGAAGCTATCGGAAAGAAGGCAGAGTGTTCGCGCACACACTTCACCCATGTATATGGCTGCACCGCCCTTTTGGCACATCCTCAGCAGCATTTGTAGCACCAGCTTGTCCACACAACGCAATCGAGTGACGTTTCAGCAAGTGAACGTGATTATCGCCGTAGCACTCATACATTTCGAGAAATCAGCAGGAAGCAACTTTGAGCCGTCGTGAAGCGAGAGTGCCGGCGAAAACAGACACGAAAATATAAGGAATTCGTTGTATGCTATGTTAACGTGCCATAGCCATACAACCCGGGAGCCGTCACCCGAAATTGACCTGGCTCTATAACCTGAACTCGAACGAGGAACCGGCGTTGCTAATTAAGCTTTGAATACATGTGTAAAAAGGCTCAACGTTACACGTACCTGTTAAGTATGCGATACTTAACGGGCAGGTCAAACAAAGTATGTGGTAGAGTGGGATTCGCAAAATTTCTGATGCAATTCCGACTCTCCACTAGCGCTCGGACGACCGACCAACGGAGGCGTACCCCGATTCCGCGTACATAGCCTTCCTCACCTTGTGTACCCGTCGGTTGGGCGAGTTGCACTCTCTAGGTGGATCTTAGTCGATGTTGATCCTAATTGTGTTTGGGATAGGGGGTTTGGTGATCTTGTGGAAATCTTAACAAGAACGACCGAGTACTTGGTGTGATCTTCCAATCGATCACGGTTATCCAATAAGGCGAAGCTTGAATCTTCTGACCACTTGAGCAGAACTTTCTGACCACTTGATCCGTCCTGCACTTGGTTTGCCTTGCCCTACTTGTTGTACCTGCGTCCAATCACAGTTGAGTTATTTTGAGAATTCTTGCAATCCCTGGCCAACTAATCCAGGGATATGACTTTCATAGTGTGTAGGATTCCTCGAGACGTCGGATGGCCAAAGAATCCAGCTTGGAAGAGAATTCGACACGTGTATTAGAAGTAAAATTGAACTCTGTTTAATGTTAATTAATTAAATGCCAAAACCTACGATTCTGCCAGGATCTATTACCACGTGTCGTTCCTTCAGAGAAATCAATCTCGATATGTGGCACACTCCTAATACCTTCACAATCCCCATCCAATCGCGATCTTGGCTTATTCTCGGATCGCAATCTGAATTAGATCGCGTATTAGTTCAGGATCACGGTCCAATCACAATGTATAATTTACATAACTTTTATCGCGGTCAACCCACAATGTGTGGCCTACATAGCCTGAATTGCGATCTGCTTCGGATTGCGTATCTGGGCTGGATCGCGTTTCCCAATCAGATCGCGCTTCTGATGTAGATCGATTTCTGCACAATGTATCGCGGCCGATCAACAATGTGTGGTCCACATAACCTGGATCGCGATCTACACTTTACGAAATATTGTTCTCTCGTTCCTCTACACTATCCAAACCTGATTGCGATACGATATGTATCTCAGATCGTGATTCGTCCATTACACTTAACCAAGGACGCGATCCACACTTTGCGAAATTCCACTTTCCACATTCAAGTATAATACGTAAATATTCAATCCATCCAATTGGATCAACCGATACTGGAATCAAGTACAATCCAAACGGTGATTAGTTCCATGATGATCCAATATAATTCGGAAATGTGATCCATGCCATGTATGAATTCACCTTAAGTATGTTTTATCATCGTCTACGATACCATTGATCCCTTATTTATTCGTTTTATTGAACGCTCAAATAAACGTGCTTGGATCAACTAAACTTTTCCATTCGATCGTCCAAGATTTACCGATCGACTTTACCACACCTAATAAGTCATTCTGGTAAGTTAATTAATGATAAACAGTGAACCGACCGTTAGCAGGACAGGGATCCAACCGTTATAAGAAAAGTATCCAGCCGTTATGGGAAAGGATTCCAACCGTTATACAGTAGCAAGGGATCCAAACGTTGGAGAGAAAATCCCGATAACTCGGCTCCGACCGAATATATCGATTAAACGGACTTAGCCAAATTCTTTAATCGACTTTACCACAGGTACGTAAGGACTTAAGACCTGACGCTTAGGTTAGACACACCATGTGTCACACCCTTATATATGTGATATATACTAGGTGTAATCACATGGGGAAGACGCCCAGCTGGAACTAGGCGTCATCAAATGACGTCAGTCAGTTTTGTCATTAAGCGAGTTAAAATATAATTAGGCTCGCGCGCTTAGGGCGCATCTACAGAGATGGCACCAATCATTACATATTGACCAATCAGTAGTTAAATTTGTATGTAATTGATTTCTAGTATATATATAAGTCAGTCTTCATTTTGCTAACTATCTTTCACTGCGCACGAGAAGCTGAATAATATTCTGCGCGTCGTAAGTTACATACTTGTTAGAACTTCGTTGTGCGGTTCGCTTCGACGACCGCCAACAGTTGTGTACAGCGCTTCAGCGCCTACCAACACCCACCACCACCGCACGTGGAGGTAACGGTCTAAACGCTTGTTCACGCTGCTCGAAGGTGTGTGCTCGTAGCACGTGGCAGCTTCTTTCGAAGTGCCCGTCCACACTTGGTAGCACTAGTAGTCCTTCCCACGACCCGTCTCTCTGAGCGTGCGTGTGGCTACGGATGTCCCTCAATATAGATTGGGTAGACTTTCCTCACCTCTTCCAACTCATAGGGAGTTGTATGAGCATTTGGCGCAGGGACGTAGTAAACAAGCCCTGGACAACCTCTTGCATTGTCCTCCTGAGCAACATGTTGTTCAGTTGGAGCAATTCGAGGCGTTTGTGCTCGGACAGCGTAGAAACGCGTACGAGGCATATAGCCATGCTGGATCTGATTCCATCAATAAGACTCAGAATGAGATTTTTCGTGATCAGGCTCAGAACGAGACGCTCAAAAGAGCTGTTGAGACGCTCTCTTCCCGGCCTAATCAGCCAAGGCCCATACGGATGACCCCTCCTAAGTTTAATGGGACTGCCCCACATACGATTTTCCACTAGATTTTAGCAGTGGAGCAATGCGGTATGACGCAGATCATCGAAGACAATACCACAATGGTGTTGTATGCCATGTAAAATTTGCGTGGCAACGCGTCAGAGTGGGATTACTCTGCTCTTATAGCAAACGCCGATGCGTTTCCATCATGGCGATCTTTAAGTCAAAGATTCGTGCCATGTACCAGACGCCTAAAAATAAAGTGTTACGTCAGGCGCGCTTCTTTGGAGCACGACAGGCGAAACGATATCTGCAATAGTATGTGAAGGAAAGCGTTCGCTGTCGGCGTCCATTAATGTGGATCCGATACCGGGGCACATTAAGGTGCCTACGTTCATAAACGGACTACGGCACGTCCCATCGCGTCAGGCCCTTTTCAGAAAGGTGCCAAAGATGATGAAAGAGGCAATTATAATTTCCATGGTTGAGAAGCAATCCTATAACAGTGCCTCGGCGACAGCTTATTCTAAGCCGTCGGTCGAAAAGTCGGATGCCACTCCAATGGAGTTAGGCAATGCAGACGTGTTCTGCTACAAGCGCGGCCATATGATGGCTTTCTGCTATGCCAAACTTGCTGCTGGTGCAAAGGCAGCCAGCAAAAAGGCTCTCTACCCAAAGGAAGGTGCGAAAAACCAGCGTTCACGACGCACGGGTTCAGCACCTGCCCAAGATGGGTCGGGAAATGTGGGAGGGCAGTAGGGGCGGGATGCCCTACTGTCGCGGACTCTGACGCTACTTCTATGTTCAGAGGGATCGAACAAATGGGTAGCATAGTCCCTGAGGTACCGAAAGGTCGGACCGCAACCCTTTTGGTCTATAGCGCTCGAGTACGAAGCTATGATTAAGTGATGACCCTTCTCGTGGATTCGGGTGCATTACAAAACTTTGTGAAACTCGCGGCTCTGAAAAAGAGACCGGCGAGTTATGAGTCGCTTTGACAGGATGGCAAGCGAGAAGAGGCGACCGTTCGTTTAGCTAACGGCGCGCTTGATAAATTAGAGGGAATTCATGTTGAGCTCGCCTTCATCTTTAACGACTTCTCTTGTAAAGAGAAGTTCACAGTGCTAGGTATGGAGAGTCCGTATGACCTCATCCTAGGCATGCCTTCGTCGGCTAAACACCAACCAAAAATTGACTGGCGTACACGCACAATCGCTAACTCTACGCAGGACACCGTAAAGGATGTGCTCCTGCAAGAGACTTATGCGATTGATGTTGTGTC